TTTGGCGTTCAGCCACCTTTCGCTACCTTTGGCGTTCAGCCACCTTTGACTACCTTTGGCGTTCAGCCACTTTTGACTACCTTTAGCGTTCAGCCACCTTTCACGTTCAGCCACCTTTCGCTACCTTTAGCTTTCAGCCACCTTTCGCTACCTTTAGCTTTCAGCCACCTTTCGCTACCTTTAGCTTTCAGCCACCTTTTGCTACATTTAGCTTTCAGCTGCCTTTTGCCTATTTTAGCTTTTAGACCTTCACTTCTTATAGCTTTTTGACAACTTTAGCTAATTTTAACTTTAAGGCACTTCTTTGCTACTTTTAGCATTTAGCCATTTTCAACTTTTTGCTAGTGTTTTGCTCCTTATAGCTTCAAGCTGGTATTTTGGTCCTTTCAACTGTTTTTAGTGTTCAGCTTATTTAGCTTTAGCTCAGGTTTAAGCTGCTGATCTCGTGCTGCTGATCTGTTTCATTCGTACTCATCTGCTCACACGCTCATGTTCGTGCTGCTGTTGGTTCGGCGTATTGTCTTTGTACTACTAGTGTAGTGTATTCTTAGTTTAGCGTTTTTCTTAGTTCACATCTTAAATCTTATTACGGTTTTTCTTTTACAATTTATACTTTTGTTGGTTGTAACTGGGAGCCTGTGTACACAGTTTCGTTCCACCACATGTACCACATATGATGCGAATGACAAGAACCTTGACACCGACTTTCATCGTGCTGTGTTTTCACGTATAATCTAATTTCTTTAGCTACAAGCTACTCTCCATCATTACATCAAACTTGTGAGAAGCCAGTGCATCATATTCAACAAGCAGCCGAAATGAATTCAGCCCAAAGCAGCTGAAGGATTCCTGGACCATGACCTCAACATTCCTGGAGACCAGCTTTGTTTACAGCTCGGGGGTTTGTCTCGGCTCAGAGGAGGAGACGGCTGAGAGGAAGGCACTCGGAGCCTCCATTAGTCTAAAGACGACAAAAAAAAAAACCATCTGCAAGCCGAAATTCTGATCATAATGAACAATTCACTTCAAAGCAAAAGCACTTTGGAAAGTGCTGGTAGGGAAAAAATACTTCAGGATCTTTCTGTTGCATTATTCACAATAAACTGACCCACAAGCCAAAACTTAAAGTTCAAGGCACTGAATTAATGGGACAAATTGGGCTTTTTCCACCAATCCTCCAACTTTCTTTTTATTTCTGTACAACATTTAGTCTTGAGAGAAGCTGCAGAGATGAAGCTGGGAGCCGAATGTTTAGAGGAAGAGGAATAAACCACATCGAGTCATGACTTAGTTTGGTCAAGAGACGAGACGCACTTCAAGTTCTCACCGTGGTTTATTACCACTCAGCTTCTGTTTAAAACAACGGACACGCGCCAAATGTTTAATCAGAGATTTTTAATATTATACATTAACTACCATGATCCTTTATGGTAGCAGACCATTATTTTGAAGACTACAGCTGTTACAAAGTAAGTACCATTTCATAGAATTCAGAAAAGATCTGAATTGTAGCTTCAAGAAAAATCCCTCTGCACTGCAAAATGTAAACAACTTCCTCATCATCTAAAGTCTCATTTCTGTTCTTGGGGAAAATGACTACCGGTACTTTAATGCTAACAAATTATACTACGTTAACAATAAGCAGTACGCAGAGGCCCCCCTTCCCTGAGGGGTTTGAATAGTGAACAGAGGTATTTATTTATTTATTTTATATTTTTTGCTTGTCCAAGGTGACACAGAATGTGATGGATCCCAGAGAATGAAGGATGAAATTTTATCAACCATCAGGTGCAATGGCGGAGGCAGGGGGTGGTCATTGGTGGCCCTGGCCACCATCCCTCCATTATCTTTACCCGCTTCCCTGGCCACCATAGATTAACATTTGTTCATCTATTTAAGGAAATTATACTTTTAGGCAATA